CCCAGCTACTTGGGAGGCTGAGGCAGGAGACTCGCTTGAGCCCAGGAGTTGGAGGTTGCTGTGAGCTGTGATGCCACAGCACTCTACCCAGGGGGCAGCTTGAGGCTCTGTCTTAAAAAATAAATAAATAAATAAATTGGGTAAAACATTTTCACAAAAGTCATATAACAAATGAAAAGAGCAGGAACCAGAACTAGAATTTCCAAGTGTTTGTATATACTTTGAAACACATCAACATGTTCATTATGGTTATCTCTAGAGGCTAGGATGGGGTTACAGATCTTTTTTTGGTTTTTTGGGTTTTTTACACCCACAAAACCACTTTTTTTTTTATTAAATCATAAACACATAGATCATGTATACATTAATGAATTTATGGGGTACAATGTGCTGATTTCATATAGAATTAGGAACACTTACATCACACTGGTTAATATATACCTCATCTTGTTTACTTAATTATTGTGTTAAGACATTTATACTCTATACTAATAGATCCAACATGTACCCTTGCATTATGCACCATAGGTGGGATGGGGTGAATGGTGGGATTACAGATCTTTTCTGTACATTTTAGCATTTCTCTCTTTTTTTTTTTACATTAAGTAATATTTAATCACATCATTAAAACATGAAAGAATTCTGGATAATATCATGGACAGGGTTTTTATAATGTATTTACTCACTTGCTGCTAAAGAGTAGTCCTGCTGTCTATGTGAGGCTGAGTGACCCTGGGCTCAGAAGGGGAGCAAGGGAGCATGGCAAACCCATCCTACTTGCAGGGCTCAGATTGGGACACCTGTCCAGCAAGCTGGCCCTGTCTCCATTTCCTCCCCCTCCTTCTGTCTTAAGGTAAGGATCCACACTACCCAATTCCTTGATAAAACTTTATGTGGCTTGTCCCCACCACCCAATCCTCTAGCCCAGTGGTTCTCAACCTTCCTAATGCCATGGCTCTTTAATACTGTTCCTGTGAGTTGAGACCCACAGGTTGAGAACCCCTGCCTTGCCTCTCCACCATGGCCCCTGGCATTCATTCAGCAGAAGTGCCTCTCAGCCCCACCCACCTTGGAGGCTGGCAAGTTCAGTTTCCAGGGCCTGAAATGCACTTTCCCATTTTCCCAAGTCCTTAGTTGACACCTCATCCTTCAACTCAGTGCTTGATTCCCTCTCCAGGGGCCACTTTCCTGCCCATCCCACCTCCTCCAATCAAATTACAACCTCTGGCTACACCTCTATTTTTCCTTCCTAGCATGTTCCTGATCTAATCATGTGCCTGTGTGATTGACATCCATGCCTCTCACAAGACGGTAAGCTCCCGGAGAGTAGTCTCAGAACCTGGGTTTGTGCACACCACTCATCACATACTCCGTGCTCCTGGCAGAGTGTCCAGACATTCAATAGATATTTGTTGAATGAATGAAGGTTTCCTCCTCTGTAAAATAAATAATAGGAGCCCACCTAGATTTCAATCATAATGCATAAAACCTGGATTCTGGGATCCTTCACTCCTCCAAGGCTCCCAGGAAACCCCAGATTCACATTCATTCTCTCTCTCATTAACACATTAAAAACTTGGGTTATCCTTTAAGTCCCTGGGGGATTTGACAGCCAGGAAAGAAAGAGGAAATCCTGGTGAGTCAGAGAAGGTGATTACTAACTGGGGAGTTTTTCCCAACTACTCAGGCCTCTCCCCTTGCTGTCTCGCTGGATGAGAATGCATCTGGCTAGAGCAGTGATTCTCAACCTTCCTAATGCTGTGGCCCTTTAAATACAGTTCTTGAGGCTCAGCACCTGTGGCACAAGTGGCTAACGCGCCAGCCACATACACCTAAGGTGGCGGGTTCGAATCCAGCCCGGACCGCCAAACAACAATGATAGCTGCAACCAATAATTAGCCAGGCGTTGTGGCAGACACCTGTAGTCCCAGCTACTTGGGAGGCTGGGGCAGGAGACTCGCTTGAGCCCAGGAGTTGGAGGTTGCTGTGAGCTGTGAAGCCACGGCACTCTACCCAGGGGAATAGCTTGAGGCTCTGTCTCAATAAATAAATAAATAAATAAATAAATACAGTTCTTGTGGGTTGCAACCCACAGGTTGAGAACCGCTGGGCTAGAGAAAACCGACATCAAGATTACCTTGGTGGCTCCCTCCTTCCTCTGGGTTTTTGCAGGTGAGAATAATGAACGCTCTCCATGGGCCCAGCACTGTTCTGAGTTCTCTGCCCATAACTCATTTACCACAATAACTCTATCATAAGGTGGATACCAACAGGGCTCCATTTTACAGGAAAGTTGAGGCACAGCAAGATTTAGTAACTTGCTCAAGGTCACAAAGCTCCAGAGACCTTGTTCTCTTAACTACTATACTATACTGCCTCACACATTTAAGAAATGAATATTGCCAAAAAAAGACAGTGACAACTGAGTGACCCACTGACTGCTCCAGAACAGGGCCTCACTAATGGAGGCAAGACAGAGAGAAAGGTGGGGGTTGGTTGGCATCCTTGTGGGTCACATGGCAAAGACTGCTTTCTCAGGCTGAAACTCAAGAGCGGTGATGCTTGTGGAATGAACACTGACAGGTCCCCCTCCCCCAAGAACAATCACTAGTCTGTGGAGAACTTCAGCTCTGCCCGGAGCTGTGTTTTTTTCTTTTTTTTCATTTTCTTTTTCTTTTTTTAAAGCAGGGATTAAACCTTGCATCTGACCATATGCATCAATTATCAGGAACTCTTTACTCCAACTGGGACCCCAAACAAACACCCCTGTTTTAACCGTAGGTGAGGTACTACACACGATTTACAAAGCTTCATGATCCTGCAGCATCCCGAATAAGTAGACAGTGATCCTGCGGACAATAAAATGCAACCCCATGCTAACACACTGTAGGGGACAGAATGAATGTACATTAAACAAAAGGCTGCCATCTCCAAAGCAGCACACCCACTGCCTTTCCCAGGCACTCAGCACAGAATCTGACCTGCAGGTTCTCAGCTTCCATTGGGTTTAGAATAAAATCCAAAATCTCTACCGTTGCCTCCAAGGTCTTTGATGATCAGGCAGAGATCATCTGCCTCCGAGCTACAGCAACACTAGTTTTCTCTCTCTTTGGGGAGTACAGACTTACTGGTCCCTCTGCCTGGATTATCCTTAGATTTTGGTCTGGCTGCGTCCTTTTCATTATTCCGACCTCTACACAAAAATCATCTCTTTCCTCTGAGGCCTTCGCCTTCAAAGTCCCCTTCCCCACGCCCCTCTGGATTGGAAGCTGTATCCTTGGCATCAGAACACTGGCCCACAGGCCTTCAAGACTTCAACAAATGTTTGTTGAATGCAAAAACGCTACAATCTCTCCACCGCCACCTCCCCCCCAAAAAAAAAATTTCTGGGAGGAATTAATTTATAAAGGAAAACACATGCAAGCGACAGCACAACACATCGATTCAAAACAAAGGCGGTAACCTAAGGCTGAACTGGTAAAGGACATAAAGGCCCCCAAGAAAGCCCTTTCCTGAGGGTGCATATACTTTTCCAAAACGAAACCAGCGGGCCAGAAGGAGGTTGCCGCCGAGCAGCAAGGGCTGTTGGCGGCAGAGCGCTGCCTACCTTGAACTCGGCGGAAAGTTGGGGCGTGTATTCGCGGGTCCACAGCGCGCGCACGAGCGCCGCCAGCTGCTCTGTGACCTCGGCGCGGCCCGGCGCCGCCCGGTAGCGCCCGAGCGCCAGGAACTCGGCCAGCAGGTCGGTGTTGCTGAGACACTGCACCACCGCGTTCATGAAACAGGTGTTACCGTGGTTCTTCAAGCCCTGCGCGCCCGGTGGCCGCGCCCCGTCGCCCGCGGGGAGCTGCGGCTGAGGGCCGGGCGGACGCTCCTCTCGGGGGCTGCCGGGGACCGCTGGAGTCGGGCCCGGGGCGCAGGCAAAGCCCCCCTCACCGTCGCCATCGCAGCGTCCCGGCTGGGGCTGGGTCCGGGGCGGCGAGTCCCCGGGGCGGGAGCGGCTGCCCAGCGCCAGCAGGAAGCGTCCAAACAGGCGGCGCAGGGAGCGGCGGCGGCGGGGCCGGGGCGCAGGCGGCCCCCTTCCTGCCGCGTCCCCGGGGCCCGGGTTCATGGCACCCGCCGGCGCAGATAGCGGAGGGAAGCCCCGGGGCCCGAAGCGGACGAGCAGCTAACAGGCCCTTACAGCCCCGCCCCGGCGCTGGGCGCCGGCTACCTGCGGGCAGGTGTGCGGGGACCGGGCGGAGGCGGAGCCAAGGGCGGGGCCGCCCCTCCCCGCGCGGGAATCCTGCCGCACTGCCGGCCTCAGGGCAGCGCCCGGCCGCCCCTATCCCTGCCTCGTCCCGCCCCCGCGGCACAGAATGGGAATAAAAGCAGTGGGAGTCGTCGTAGCCCATTTCTGCACCCTGCCTTACCTCTTATAAACCAGCAGACCTGGTTTAACCTCTGGCCCTGTTCCTCGCCCAACCTTCAAGCTGCAGAAGTAATAGAAAAATGAAATATTTGAAAGCGCCCAGCTATTGCTAAATTTCTTGTAATTACGTCCAGTTGACGAAGAAAAGGGAAAGGAAAGACTCCAAAGGACAGCCTCGGGCGTGGTGAAAGGCGCGCGCTGGAAGGCGAAGGGCGGCCAGCGCTCTGGTACACTGCTGCTTCCTCCGCGGGCTCAGGTGTGTGCAGACAGGTGGTGCCACCTCCTTCCAACCCGTCTGCCCCTTGGGTGAGGCAGAGGTTTTGCCTGTACCCGCCAACCCAGCACCTGAACTGAGAGCCGCGTGTTGCCGTGTGAACAAACACCTGGCGTGGTTTGCTTTTTGAAACTACAAGCTGGGTTAGAGTCTGTCCAAAAACTTATGAGACTCGATCATCCTCGGTTTAGCTGGTGGAGAAGTGGGCTCCGAGAGGTTAACGCAACGTTTGGCCACCCGACCCGTAAGTAGGGAAACCGGAACTCGACCGTAGTCTGCGGGCTGCCGGGTTCAGGCCCTGTCCAACCTCGGCATTTGCTTACCAGGAAGTTTTCCGGCTCCCGGGCGCGCCCCCTACGCTGTCTCTTGTTCACTCCTTAGCGCAAAATCCTTGCTGAATTACTGCCCAATCAGAATTAGCTTGGCCTTGCCCCGCCCTTGATTTCCTGGGCAACCCCGGGGGCCTGCGCTCGCACAAAATCCCCTGTAACTGACAGTTTTATAATTAATCGGGCAAGGTCTTGCAGAATGAATTTCTCATCAATTTCTAGCTCAAAAGGAGATCTGCAGTATTACATCAACGTCCTGCTGCTTGTTATTTAATAAGTGGTCATAATTTATTAAATATTCTCCCCCATCTTTCAAATAGGGCAGCAGCAGTTACCCGATGCTAAAAAGCAGTATTACTTAAGGGATAAAGAATAAGCTTATAAGACTGCACTGTGAATTGGAGACATGTGTTTCTGAAAAATGCGATCATTTGCCCTCTCTGGAATTGAAACAGATACTCAGTTGGATGATTAATACACAAGGTCCATTTCGTCACCCTTGCGGTGGTAGGCACATGAGAAAGAAATTATAGCCAACTCAAAATGTCATCTTTGATAATCACCCCAAGATCCCCAACAACACACATTTTCTTTGAGAAAGCATTCATGTTTTATCTCTGTGTCAGGGATTCTGCCCATGCTTTAAAACATTATGTCACTTCATTCTCACAATAACCTTTTGAACAGGAATTTATTATTGCTTGAAAAAAGAGAAAACTGCAGCTCAGAGGGTTTTTAAAAGCCTGCCAAAGATCTGTATTTAAACCAAAGTCTTCTTCCCCAGAGCTTGACCAATAAAATGATGATTAAGAAGGAAATTCACACTGTGTTGACCAGTTGATGGAAGTATTTCAGATTGCATGTGAAAACCCCACACTGTACCCTAGAAGTGCATTAATGTACATAGTTACCGTTCAAAAAAAAAAAAAAAAAAAAAAGAAGGAAATTCACCTTGCTTTATTTTTAGAGGATAATAGCAACGTTGTCTATGGACAGATCGTGAGGAAGGTCTGTGGGTTTTGCAGAGTCACATAAAAGAGGTTACGACAGGAAACCAACAATGGAGAATTTATTCATAATAAAGCTGTTTTAATTATAGTCTGGAAAATTATTCTTCAACATATTTCAATCTTAATATACACTTTAAGAATGTAAATGCATTCTATAAAGGAAAGGAGAAACTTAGAGAACATTTCAATTGAAGAACAAAAACAGCAATGTGGAAAATCAAGACTACAGTTGGAGTTATCTAAACCCCATCCTCAACAGGACTGTGTGATGTGGTGGCTCCGAGAGATCCCAGGTGCTTCAGGAGACAAATGGGTACTTCCATCGCAAAATGGCTCCATCAGCGCTTACACTAACAATATATTGATTTCCTGGACTTATCCGGATCCCTGTGATGTGGCCACTGTGTCCCACCCCAACATGAGTCACTTCACCCTCGTTATAATCCCAAACTTTGATCAGATGGTCATTTCCACCTGAAAAAGACAAACACTTACATGGCATTGCTGCCACAGTATAGAGAGAAAGAGCCCCAATTTCAAATAACTGGATTATTTCTAATACATTGCCCAGGTGGCAATTTAAAGGAAGAAAAATCTATCTTTATAATAACACTTGATTATAAAAATCTATGTCTAGTGTAGGAAATATGGGGGGAGAGGAATACAAAGAGGTAAAATCACCTTTATCCCACTACCCAGAAATAACCACTATTGACATCTTGGTTTAGTTCCTTCCTGTCTGTTTTCTATAAGTATATATATATCTGTATTTCCTATGTATAAAGCATGCATGTACATATACAGTCTGATTGGGGTCACACTGTATCTAGTTTGATATCCTGCTTTAAGTCAAAGTGTTTCTGAAACTTAGCATCAAGGGTGTCAACCTGTGGCCAACAGGCTGTGTGCATGCTGATTTTGTAATGACTTTTTTTGCTTATCTGTGGTGTTGGATATTATGAAAAGTATGCACGAAACTTTTTTTTTTGCGAATCAGCTTTTGTTTGTGCAGCAGAGGGGGAAAAAAGGTTGGACACCCTTGGTTAATTAGAGCATTTATTTATTAATGTCCTGAAGAATCAGAGAACCTAGCAAGAAATGATGTTGCTCCCATTGCCATGTCTGTGGTAAATGCCCCATTGAAAACTGGTTAATTCATCTCTTTTTCTGGGGAAAGGATCACATCATTCAATAATAAGAAGGAATCTACAGGATTAATATATAAGAACTGCCATTTGAGACTTCGATAGGAAATAACAGAGGAAGGCACACAGAAACAGCCCAGACCACTTAAAGGCTGGTGATGCAAAGCTTGGCTTATTTGTGCAAAGACTCCTGTGCAAATGTTTCCTCTCACTGAAGTATGACTTCTAGATTTTTCTTTTCTGGCCACAATGGCTCCAGTGTTCAGTATGAATGTAACCAAGTTGCCCCTGAGACCCTTTGGTGATCTGTTCTCATTGCCTCCAAACTGGGAGTTCCATGTCCCCAACTAAATAAGCCAGGAGTGGCTTTCTTACCCCAGAACTAACCTGTGACAAAGTGCGCTCCTTCCTGTGTGATATCCATACCATTTATTGACCCAGACAAGGAACCTTCCAACTCTCTGATTACTGAGCCATCAAATACTTCCCAGTAAGCAATCTGGAATTCGGGAAAGAAGTATTAGGCAGGATTCAGCTCAGTGGAATCATCCATGCACATGCTAACAAAAGATGGTTCGACTTTATATAGAAGGTAGCAAAAATACACCATGGGATGATACTGGCTGAAATTATAAATAGGCTATAGCAGGGGGTGGGAAAACCATTTTAATATTTTTAGTATTGGTTTGAAAATTTGCATTCTATTTAAAGAGATGTTGATGTGCTGATAAACCTGGATTGTGACAGAAAGAGCTTTTGATAAGACTAAGCAGATTGAGTCTGAAGCAAGCTGTAAAAGGAGAAAACAGCTTCTGCATCCACAGTGAGGCTTCAGGCCTGGTGGGAGGGAACGCGCTGGGGAATAGGCACCCTCCAGAGTTCCAGAGATTGGGACTCACAGAGTGGCCCAACCCTCCCTCTTCCTCACCCTATCCCTATTCTCAGTTTTCCCTTCTACCCCAAAGCAATAAAATACTCCTCAGGGTGGAGTTCAAAGACAAAAGGGATTAACCTTGGTCCCCTCCTAGGGAGGAAAAGGGGGGAGACAGGTGCTGAATACACTACCTTTGTACTTTGAACCTTGTGAAAGTACAAAGCATTCAAAAATCTTCCTTTTAAATACAGAATGCTTGACCAGGAATTAGAAGCATGAACTCGGGCACACATTTCATCCATTTCTCTTCATTTCATGTCGATGGAAACTTGCTGTATTCCCTGAATGGCTAGAGATTGTGTACAGTTTTTTTTTTTTTTTACTTTTTTTTCTTTTGCTTTATAATTTCTATCGATGCTTGATCACATTAACAAAAGTTCTGTGTTCATAGTAAAAGCATGAAGGGTTTCTCAGTAATCACACCCACAGAAGTAGCTGGAACTTTGACTGCCTGCCATCCCAGGCAAAGAAGACAAAGGGACTCTCTTCTGGGCAGCCCTGTCAGAGCTCAGTCTTTCCCTGCTGTCCTCTGCCAGGGGTGCCCCTCTTTGAGATTTGGACAAAGCTAGATCCTTGGAGCTCCTAGGAGCTTCCCTGCACCTGGCCAGTGCCATACAGCCTGTTCTGCTTCCTTTTGTAGCCCTGTCACCATCTCATGTCTTGTTCATTTATTATTCACTGCTCATTCATTGGTTTACATACGTATTAGCTGATTCCAGCCCCTACTACCTAAAATAAATAAATTATTAAGCTCCACGAGAGCTTGCTACATGGAGAAATGTTCCCCCAAACAGAAGGACCAATCTTCATCCAAGGACGTAAAAACATTAAAGCTTTTTTAATGTTTTTATAAGTAGTGATGAGAGGGGAGGAGCTCTACTGTCTTTCTGTTTGAATTTCATCAGAATCGTAACTGGTTTGGGCACAGCAATTCCACTCTAGCCTCAGAAATTTCCTAATAAAAAAACCTAATATTTATTGAGTGCCTACTATTTGCCAGCCCCCATT